AAAAAATACTTACGGAAAATTGTCACCTGCAGGATTATATACCCGTTGGCAAAGTCCTATTTCAATTTTCACTACTGTAAATGCCTCCACCTGTCCATATTCTATGAAGAAGGCTTTCACAAGGTTCTACTCTATATTCATGGGTACACCAACGAAAGTGACCTAGGTCCTTCTGGCGCCCATATACTCAGATTGCATCCTCACTGACTTTGTGAAGAGCATCCTGCAAGTTTTTTAACCTCCTCTTCTGACGTAAACAAGATGTCCCAAATTGCTTTTGACTTTCTTGACAACACCTTCACTGCGATGCTCAAGCACCTGATTGCTCTCTCGATTTCTTCCCTGCAAACGCCAAGCAACTTCAGCAATACCAGCAAGTAAATTGCCTTTTTTGAAATTTCCTCCGAGGCTGACAGAATGGTCAAGAGTTTATTGCCTGAAATATAGCCCTGTTACTTTTCCCATGCCTCTATATAATATTCAAGACCCCATTTTGGGTCCAGTCCGCCGCGCATGCTGAGGTATGGGGACCTGCTGGCTGATCCAGCTGCTGAGACACCTCAACCGGGGCCATACACAAAACCAAATAGGTCACAGGACAATCAAATGTGCTATATATACACGTTACAAAAATTAGGCAAGATAAAACAAAAACTTACAAATAAAACTTTCCAAGATAAAGTCTTGTTTACGGTAGAAAGGCAAACAAAGTAACACAGAAAATAAATACAAATAATAAAAACAAACAAACGCAAGAGCAGAATTACACTAAAGAGTAACAAATGGGATTGCCGAAAAGAAAAACAAAATTAAAAAATATAACAAAGTTCGCGTAAATGAAAACAAGAAAACGCCAACACTGAAAGTGAACACACTTTTCATAATGAGCCACCTTCGTTAAAAGACGCGACGGATGAGGTAGAAAAATAATCGGGAACACAAACCGTTTTTATTGAATGACCAGTTTTTCATTGGTTGACAGTGGTAAAGGACGAACAATATTAGCATATCCGAGGTGCATTTATGGCAACAGCTGCTATTGATGTTTCTATTTTGGTTATTCTATCTTTGGCATATTGTACAAAACAAACGTCTCCTTTTTCCCGGTAGGTGATTTTCTCTTTCACGATAGTTTTTCAATTATTTATTCACAATTATTTGCAAATAGTTATAGCCACTAATCAGACAGAACTTCGATAAATTTTGAGTAAAATTCCGCAGTTTTTAGTGTGAGAAAAATTCTGATTAACACTTGAACCTGGTTACCATTAGGGAAAGTTTCCTCTCAAAGAGATTTGCAGCGATGAAAAAGGGACTAATTGGTTTGTGCCAGGTTAAGAGAATATGGAGGGGTGGGTAGTACAGATGATGTTTTTTTTTTCCTAAATTATTTATAACCCTTTTCATCATTCATCCAAGCAAGTCTAAAGGGGCTATCGGGTGTGAAAGAATATGCATTATTATGTAGAGAGAGCAATAAAAAAAATGGTAAAACCCGAAAATAACGACTGATATTGCAATTAAATGATTGATGATCAAAGAAGACGGAAGGGAATTCAACAATCAAAAAATGCTAAGGAAGATCCAGTTAGAATAGAACTTGCTGTTACATCTAGCAATTTCAACTATAAACCGACGTGACCTTGCTCTTATATGCGGCCTTGTGTTATGTTTCTCTTACTTCTGCGAGGATATTTCTACTTTGAAATTTCTTTTACATTTCCTTTTCGCTAAGATATAATCTTGCCTTTTCAAATGGATTGGATGCATTGTTTGAAAATGTGTATGACTGAGTGATCATTTCCTTCACCTACTTACGCATATATATATATATATATATATATATATATATATATATATATATACAATTAGGCTCTTCATTATCGTTAATATTCTTTTCGCTGATCCAACGATTGTCTCCTGATGAGATGTTGGCTGAGATGGCCCTAGAGACTTTTAAAATTAATATCAATGCATTCCTTGTTTTTAAAACTATATATATATATAGATCTGAGTATTCTTTCAGGATATGCAGAAAAGTCCCATAATAGCATACCATTTTCAATTTCGGTTATTGATTAAAGCCTAGGGTCTTTCAAATGATCTAATATAGATATTTTGTACAAGCAAATTTTCTAAAGCAGATATCTACCAATTAAGACATGTCTTGGTTTATATTTTTGCATTGACTATTAAATTCGACTATATTTCTTCTTCTATGGCTTTTTTCGGGACCCATATATAGCTCTTCAAATTTAGTACTAAACAATCTGAATGACTTGAATATAGATTTCGAGTACTTGTCCAATATAAACGTCAACAATATTTCGTCACTAAAGACTGTTTAGCTGTTCTTAATTGTTCTCCCTGTTAGTCATTATCTCTTCCGCCTAATTTAAAATTTTTAAATGAGACATGCCTATCCATCAGCTGCAACAAGACAGAATAAAATGGTCATTAGGAAGAGAAAAGGTCTAAGATGCTAGTTACGAATCGATGTCAACATCATGCAATTATAGAAATTTAAACATCTGGGAATAGTTATAACAATGGATGAAACATACGACACATTACATTTAAATATTTGAAGTTAAAATTGACTAGAAAGCAATAGGCCGGAGGAATGCTGCTGAAATTAGGGTACGTCTAGCCATTTTAATTATACAATGTGGAGAGCTGTAAATCTATTAGGTTGGTGCAAAAATAATGACGTAATAATGTCGTTTTTTGACCTTAAAAAATACGTCAAAAAACGACATTATTACGTCATTATTTTTGCACCAACCTAATAGTAATGTGTTTAAATCCGTAAAGTCGAAGGTACCTTTGCGGTTTCACGTAACTATTAGTAACAGGTGGTTACCTGCGGTCGAGCGATAATAGCGACAGACCGCAGCTGGTAGTTTAGTGTTTTCCCTTGTTGATGCTTATCTCCGAGTAGACACAGTTAACCATAATTCTTGGCTGTGACAGAAGCAATACCCACTAAGTAGATCCACCTCTAATACATACAACACTTGTTCCCCCCCCATTGCTAACAGGTAGTGTCTTTTATAGTTAACGAGGGGAGGAGTTCCAAAATCCCCGTGTCGATAAAGACACGTGGTAATTTCTCTTTTTTTCTGCTGAGTTTTACAAAGTTGCCATCGGTCGGCCTCCAGGTAAGCGAACATATATTAATTTTAACGGTACCGAAGATAAAAGCTCATTAGAATGATTATCATGAAAATATTAACAGAAAAGTGGATAGGAAATCTGTGCTATATATGGCCTTAACTTGCTATGGAGAACACTTTATTTCTTTTAATACACTGGGTATTCTGTTTCTACATTGTAAAAACTAAATTATGAACGCCAATTGGATTCCTAACTTCCACGTAAGGGTAAATTCCAAAGTTATGATATCTTTTTCCTGAATGATATTTATTAATTACAAAGAAGTGCAATATCATAAGATCCTTCAAAGAAGAACACTCTGTCTTCAATGCCCTTGTTTTAGCGCTTCAGCCATCGGGAACTCACTACAGAAGTCATACAAAGTGAAGGTATCCAGGACTTGTTACAACCTCTTTCATTTTCTGAAACTGACTTTTCAAAAGGTGCCCTTTACCTCGGGGAAGAACCATAACTCACAGGAAGAAATGCCTGGACTGTACGTAGAGTCTCATACTGCCCGACTGCATTCTGCAAACTAGCCATCTATGACAAGCAGTGTTTAGTAGGGTTTGTTTGAAGACCTTTTACAGCCACCTACTTCAGTCTGGAATGAGGATTTGATTCGATTTCTTTGTTAAACCGCGTATCAACACCTTAGAGGTCATTTAATGCCGAAATCTAATTTTCCTGGGAGCTTTGAAGTAGTAAATGGATTATATATATTCTGCTTCACACAATTAAATACATAGTAGATGATATTCCGCATTTGTGCATATATATATATATATATATATATATATATATATATATATATATATATATATATATATATATATGTGTGTGTGTGTGTGTGTGTGTGTGTGTCTGTGTGTGTGTGGATATAATTAATAGACCCGGTGTTTTTTGCTTTTAGTTTTGTTCAAGTTATATTTTGGAAAACAGTTTGATTTCTTTAAGAAATTGTAGGATATTATATGGATTAATGACGTAAAAGAGTCCTTTCATGTTTCCCATTAGGTTAGTTGATTGTGTTTAGCGGCATATCAACCTATGTGGGTTATTCATTGACGAAATCTAAGTATTTTGAACACAATTCTATGGTTTCACCTAAATTTATGCTATAAATAGCTATTGTTGGTATTTTTTTATAAAATGCTATTGTTGGTAATTTTACAATAAATAACTATTTTTGGTAAATTTTATACAAAAATGTATTTTCATACTTTCATTTGTTTTTGTTTAGGGTCTCACTATATGCATATACCTGAGACCTTAACAAGTGCTACCAGTCCGGGTCTGGGTCAACCTGGAAGCAACAGCTCCTGAACACCCTTCAATCTCCATATCAGATACATTGATACTGAATGTATTTTATCATCATATTCAGGACTACTAGAATAAGGAAAGTTGGTATGTCTACTTATTTGGTGTATAGTAATGATATACTAAAATTACTCTAATCTAGGACAGATATAACAACTTTTCTTAAACGTCTCAAAGCATCTGGAGATGCTCCTGCTATTATTAGTAGTTAGGTCATTATAATTGTTTCCCATAACGGAAATTACTTCTAACACAGTGTAATAGTAAACCAATTAAATGAACGTAGCTTGTACGCTTGTAAGTTGCTTGAATTCTAAATGAAGATCAAATTAAATGAAATGGCTTGCTAAAATGACTCAATCATTTGCTGAAAAGCATACCCCCTATCCTTATTCCAAATTTAGTCTGCACGTATTTAGTTATCGAATTAGTGATTTTGTTATGTAGGTCGGCCTGGTAACTTTTGATAATGCATTTACATGCGGAGTTCTTACTTATCATACTCAAAAATTAAAAGTTACCTATATTTGTATGTATCTCTGAGAGAGAGAGAGAGAGAGAGAGAGAGAGAGAGAGGGAGAAAGAGAGAGAGAGAGAGCAACAGACAGACAGACAAACAAACAGAAAGATAGAATAAGAAAGAGAGGGAAGGAGACAGCATGACAGACAGACATACAAAGAGAAAAAAAAGAAAGAACGCGGATGCATTAGTGAGGAGATAACTCACACCCTTGAGCGCGATATCCTACAAGTTCATCTGCGTCGAGTGCTGATATGATTTAATGAAAACCGCTATTAATTCTTATTCTCATCTTGCCTATCTAATGTCTGCGAATTACGCATCATTTCCACCTAAATCAGCCAAAAGTGCTATGTTTGTTCGATTTCTACGACACGTGCGTTAGAACTGGTGGTTACACGTGACTTTGAATAATTGAATAAATAACGGGCATATAATCCAGTTGAAGCTGATTAAATCGGCACTTCGTAATTTTGTTGCCATAGTAATTTTGATTTCAATCCCTGGTCCTGGAACACAGTACAGTATGCTTGAATTCAGTGGCGAGCAATAACTGGGCAGTACTAAAAAATTAAGAACGTGACGAGATATCACAAGATGTTGTCAGTGAAAGGAGATCAGATTACGGCCGTATGAGGTTAGTTAAAAAGTTGTACGACTCATCCAGAAAGAAAAGCCATGGTTTGGTTTGTTTTGTTTTACGGCATATAAACATCAATGGGTTATTTAATGAAGACAAGGTTTTATTGTTGGTAATACCTTTTTTTTCCAAAATGTATTACTGGTAGTTTTTTTTTTTTTTTTTTTTTTTTTGCAAAAATGTATTGCTGGTAATAATTATTTCGATAAATGTGTTACTGGTAATAATTTTTTTTTTACAAAAATGTATTGCTGGTAATATTTTCCTTTTTCAAAAATGTACTGCTGGTAATTTTTCAAACAAAATATTGCTGGTAGTATAACCTATTTTTATACAGTGCTGTTCGATAAAAGTGACTCACCTGATTTTTTTTTACTGAATGTTCTCTTCTCTGATGAAACGAAAGTTGAGCCAAATTGAAAGGATACGAAATTTAAAATCCGAAGAACCTTTGAAAACTCTTTGAAGTTAGCAGTAAGTACTGTCAAGCATCCGTTCAGTATAATGTTCTGGAGAAAACTTATGGAGCATGTTGCTCAACTGCTTTCTCAGGAGCCTGTACTTTATAATGCTCCGTAAGTTTTCTATGTGGTTGAGGTCAGGAGATTGGGGCTCCCATGCGTTAACACTCACCTGCCTCTCATGAAAGTATTCCTTCATCAATTTTGATTTGTGACAGGGAGCATTATCCTGTATAAAAATGATATTGGTGGGATCGATTTGTACCATTTCAGCAGAAGGGAGCAAAACTCTAAAACTTTCCTGTACTGCTCGCTCCTGAGGGTCTTTTCAATAGGTTTTAAGAAACCAGTTCCATGAAAAGAAAAGCATCCCCCAGAACATTATAGTGACAGTACAAGAGAACATTTAGTAAAAAAATCAGATGAGTCACTTTTATCGAACAACACTGTACTTTCATAGTGTTTTGAACTTTTGGGGGAGTTAGCTATTTGCCCATACAGTAACCCTGACAGGTGCTACCACCCCGGGTCAGGGTAGACCTGGGAACACCAGCAATTAAGTGGTAGCTTCATGCTTTTCAAAACATCCTGATCAAAGACCTTGCTGTCGGATGTAGTTTATTGGCTTACCAAGAACATGGATGCAGTTTATTACCACACCCAGGGCGGGAAGAGCCATAGCTGAAGAATTTTGATGTGGCTGCATACTAACAATTCTTATAAAACTAAAGCACCTAATTCAGATTTTGTTATAGTGGAACACACCTATTCTATAGTTAATAGACTCGCCCACCTATAATAAGTAGGAGTAGTAAGAGTCACTCAGTGAGTTGGTCAGTCAGTCGACTGGCTGATCGGTTGATCTCTGCCTTTGGGCGGGGAGGAACCCGAAGGAAGCTACGCCGAATGGCGGATTCTCTTTTGGGGAGGTAAACCGAACCTGAACCCGTTTATACGGGTTCAATGGGCATATTTTTGGCTGAGCCCACGGGCTCGGATATCCCACGTTAAACCGGCCTTGTGCCACATGATGCTCTCGGGGTGGGGCTGACTAAATATCGTCGGTGAATCAATCGATGCCGGACGACCGTTAGACGGATACTAAAGTATCAGCGACCACAACTAGATTTTCTCTGCGTCATACCTATTATATGAAGTTCCTAACGTTTTGTACGTCGAACTTTTTTTAGGACCGACTTAGTACAAGTACAAGCCTCCACTGTGAAATCACTCTATAACAGATTTCTGCAAAAATTTCTCAGCAGGTGAGTGCCAGTAAATGAGAGAGATATATGACAAATCGAAAAATGCACAAAACATAGGACCGTGCAGTCAAAAAGTATCTGCAAAAGAAATGTATGACACGCAAGAATATGGCATAGACACTTGCTGAGAACTCCTCTTTCTATGCAACTATGAGGATGTGGGCTGAAGAATTCAAACTAATACTTAAGCCTAACATTTAAAAGTTCAACGATATATTTTCTGCTGCCACTTAATGAAGAAAATTTGATGTACGTAGGTACTTACATTCCGTACAAACAATTATTTTTATTTCATAGCTGACTTTCACTGTATTTTGCAATTAACTTCGATCATTCCTAAAATTTATTTCCAAGTTAAATTCGTCGCAAAAATCACGTAAAATCGTCGAAAACATTCGCAGTAATGAAAAGTTAGGAATCTAAAACTTCTGTAACATGAGCTATTGAAAGTTAAAGAGTTGTGTCCCTTTAATTGAAAAGTATGACAAAGTGACACACTGACATTCACATTTATTATATAGAAAGATGAAAATTCGATCTGATGAGTAGTAAGTTACAGTGATCCTCTGAAGGTTTCTCAGTCTGAACAGAAATGTGTGGGCATTAGTTCTAATATTTGGTCATCTCATGAGATTTTCGAACTCTAGATAGAACGCGAAAAAATTTTGGTCATTTTAAAGAGTTTCAATCAATGAGTATATTAAATGGCAATGATGTAGAAAGAACACTAAAGCACTTCGACATGGTGTAATGATTAGTAAGCTTTTATGGCTAGATCAGTTTCAAATGAGTTGTGATTCCAACGATCACTCCGTGCTCCTCTCTTTTGGCCTTGAGGTACATCTAAGTTGCGCTTAGTTAATTACAGACATTAGACCTGATGTAATTGTTAGCAAGCTTGTCTCGCTAGATCTCTTGCGAATGATTAGTGAGTTCGCTCCTAGATGTGTACTCGAAATATTCGGCCTTTTGGCACATCTAAGCAACGCTTGAAAAATAATTAAAGGAAATAAACAACCACATGCTTATCCAGACGTCTTACGTTACACCCCTATGATCACTGCTCCATTTAAACAGACACACAAAATTATCCGACTCCATTAGGAACACACTGGTAGAAAACACAAATATATTAACTGCATCCACCTGCAAAAAAGACTAAAATAATGGAAGCTTCAGTAATAAAAAAGAAAAAGCCAACTCTTAACAATATTAACTACGGACAAAACCACAATGTGGTAAGCTTATTAGGAAATTAAAAACATCCCCACCAAACACTAATACATACACAGAATGCAAACACTCAATTAAGATGAAAAATCGAATCGTCCTTGATAATGGCTAAAAGTATATCCGAAAGCGCTCGGAAATATAAAACATTTCGACAGTTCTTACACACTATTTGTCCAGAAAAGAAAACACTTGTTCGAACACAAGAAAAATTAAAAAAAAAAAGGCTTAACCGTAGTACAGTGTAACCCGGATATAAGAGACCCGGATAAAAGAGAAACCCGGATCTAAGAGAGGTTTTCTCTGGTCCCAAATTAGAGCCTGTGTTAATGTATATAAAATAGACCAAACCCGGATATAAGAGAAACCCGGATATAATAAACTTCTTCTCCGGTCCCGACAACTCTCTTATATCCGGGTTACACTGTACCTTGTCTATCGTTTTTAATGAAACATGCATATATATATATATATATATGTGTGTGTGTGTATATATATATATATATATATATATATAAATATATATATATATATATATATGTGTGTGTGTGTGTGTGTAAAAAGTGTATATATATATATATATATATATATATATATATATATATATATATACACACACACACACACATATATATATATATATATGTGTGTGTGTGTGTGTGTGTGTGTGTGTATTATGTAAATTAACGAAGTGAGGAAGGGAGAAGACATGAGTGAGTTAGATGTACCATTTCAATTCTTTATCTTTTAAGCTCACTTGGTGTGGGCCCATCAAAAATTTGTTAATTTTTTCATTTCAACCTCTGGAATTAAAGTCTGATGATTCAGAGCCCTTCAAAGGGGCTGTGGTGAAATAATTTATGACATGGAACATTAAAGTGGTCTGTTTTTATTCAAATATATATATATATATATATATATATATATATATATATATATATAATGTGGTGGATTTTTGGTAGCTATTATTCAATTATAAATGTTTGATTAAATATCTGAACAATAATTGTATCTAACGAAGGTGAAACAAAACACTTTTCTACTCTCATCCGTTGTAACTTCTGCGAATAGATAAATAAATAATTCCCTATCTGGTAGCTGGATATTTATAGATTTATTTTGGCAGGGGTTGGGATTTGAAAAAGCCATCATGAATCATAGAATATAAACGACTGATCAATAAATGAGATGCGACTTGTTTTCTACTATGTCCGAACTTAATATAAGCAGATGTCTAAAAAGACGGCCAGGCGTTAAATGTAAACACTGTTTTCAGTTTTGCGCTTACGAAATAATAAACATAAGAGCTCTTATAGAGTCGCTGATTATATTGTAAAAGAAATAAGAAAAATAACTACGCCATTGATCAATGTTTAATTCTATTTGCTTGCAAAGCAATTATAAAAACAATATTTGGCCCCGAAAATAAAATTATGTTATCTGATATCCAGGAGAGTTACTCGATGGGAAAGGCTAATGCTGTCGGTTGAAATGAAATGGAAACTATATTAAATGTAAGTTGCTTAGAGGTTTGGTTCATTGTGTCTTCCTAGACAGATTTTCTCTGTTGTTTATATCTTACATATCTATAC